CAGGGGTACCTGAAGGAAAGCAAGAAGTTGAAGAGCTATTTGAAGAAATAATGATGGAAACCTTCCCTGACCTGGTCAAGGAAATAGACATACCACCTCAGGAAGCTCGGAGAGTCCCAGAAAAGATGAACTCATAGAGGCCCACACCAAGACACATCATCACCAAAATGCCAAAGGTTAAATACAGAGAGAGAACCTTAAAAGCAGCAAGAAAAAAGCAGTCTGTTACCTACAAGGGAGCCCATAAGACTGGCAGCTGATTTCTCAAAAAAAACTTTGCAGGACAGAAGGGCTTGGCACAACATAGTCAACGTGACGAAAACCCAGGATCTACAACCAAGAATACTTTATCCAGCAAAGCTATCATTTAGAGTCAAAGGACAGATAAAGAGCTTCCCAGACAAAAATAAGCTAAGGGAAATTATCAACACCAAGCCAGTATTACAGGAAAGTTGGAGAGACTTCTTTAAGAAGAAAAAAAACATGTATCAAAAACATGAATAAAGAATGGTAATAACTACATTCCTATCAACAAGTACCTCAAATGGAAAAGAATTAAGTGCTCTGACCAAAAGACAGAGTGGCTGAATGGATAAGAAAACAAGACCTTTACATATGCTGCCTACAAGAGACTCACTTCAGATTGAAAGACACACACAGACTAAAAGGAAAGGGATGGAAAAAGATATTGCCTTGATGGACCTAGAGGGTATTGCGCAGAATGAAGTCAGATAGAGAAAGACAAATACCACATGATTTCACGTACATGTGGAATCTAAAGAGCAAAATAAACAACAATGACAACAAAATGGAAATAAACTCATAGATACAGAGAATATTTTGAGGGCTACTAGGTAGGAGGGGGTTGGGGAAATAGTGAAAAAGGGCAAAGGGATTAAGAAGTACAAATGGATAGTAACAAAATAGACATGGCGATATCAAGTGTAGCATAAGGAAAATAGTTAACGATGTTGTAATAGATATGTAAGGGGGAAGAGAGGTACTACATTTAGTGGGGTGATCATTTTGCGAGTTATGTGGATCTCTAATCACTATGCTATACAACTGAAACTAATATATCATTTTATGCCAACTATAATCGAAAAAACTTCATTGAACTGTACAATGTAAATATGAGCAATTAACTGTCTTATATTTCAATAAAGCCAGGGAAAAAAGTTGATTACATAATAAGAATCAATTTTAGAGATAGTTCAATAATAGAACAATGTAAAATACATCATCCTATGTACCTTAACTATAATCACATCTTAAATAAAGATATAAAAATACTACACTGCAAATCCAATATTTTATTTAATAAGTATATTAACACTTCTCATAATATATCAGAAAAGATTAAAATATAGAAATATTTTCAGCTATACAAATTCAAAGCTTCCATGACTAAAAAATGCTGAGGATTCCATTGTTATTTACATACTTTTCTACATAGAAATGTTTATATCTAATACAATTTTACCTAAATTAACCCTGGGCAAAGCAAATGTTGTAATTAGACAATGGAGACTTATTAACATTTGTAGTTGCCATGTGTCAAATGTTGTGAGCACTTTACAGATATTAACTCATTTAACCTTAAAATCATGTAATAGAATATGGTAAAAATAATTTTAAAAATTAAAATTGCTGTTTTCCTCTCCCTCTTTCCATCCAACCCTATCATATGTAGTCAGTAAAAGCAGGAGTCCTCAATCCCCAGAACGCGGCCCAGTACCGGCCCATGGCCTGTTAGAAACCAGGCCACACAGTAAGAGGTGAGCAGTGGGCAGGCAAGCGAAGTTTCATGTGTATTTGCAGCCACTCCCCAGTGCTAGCATCACTGCTTCAGCTCCACCTCAGATCATCAGGCATTAGATTCTCACAGGAGCACCAGTCCCTGGTGCCAAAAAATGTTGGGGACCGCTGACTAAAAGAAGAGCAAAAGAACAGTGAAAAGATATTTTTAAAATATTAATTTATTTAATTGAAGAAATTATTTAAATCCCCCCCCCTCCCATCCCGTCTACCTCCCCGCTCCCCTCTCCCCTCTGGTAACCACTAGTCCATTGTCCATGTCCATGAGTCTTTGTTTGTCCTATTCATTTTTTGCTTTCAGGTTTATATCCCACATATAAGTGATATCATGATTTTCAACTTTTTCTGTCTGGCTTATTTCACTTAGTATTATTTCAAGGTCCATCCATGTTGTTGCAAAAAAGGTTGGAGACTGCTGCGTAAGAGAAGAGCAGCAAATTTAGGTATGCTCATGAGTTCTACTATGTCTTAATGCTAATTAATAACATGTTCTTACAATTATGCCCTCTCATCCAAGTACCTCAAAAAGTATTTAGAGTATTAATTTGTTATTACTTATATCTTTGAGAGACAGGCTGGGAGAAAGTTATCACTATCTTACAAAGAAACTAGGTCATAGAGAAGTTAAGTGACTTCACTAGGGCCATACAATGAACAAAAAGGGACTCGAACACTGTTCTCATTTCTAGTTCAGTTTATTATCCATTTTATGGTTAATATATCTAAATATGTCTCTATTCTAGGAATATTGTGAATAATGTATTTATATAATCTAAGAACTAAAGGTGATGGTTCAAAAATACTGCTCTATAGGAATACAGAATAAAAATGAATAATCTTTGACACTATTATTTATAGGGTTTTTGCTTTGTGGTTTTCTGAAGCATCTGTTCAAAACGAACCATTCTGTTTTTCATTGCTTTAAGCCAGGTTGGCATAGCTGTGAACAACCAAGATGCAGCTGAGACAGGCTGACAAATGACTTTGAAGTTGTCTTTCATTGTGTTCCCATTGCTCATTCTTTAAGTCATCCTCCTCCTAGTTCTCCATTCAGCAGATTTGCACAACCTAACATCCTCAATCCTTCATCTGTGACCAGTTTAGTTAAGCTATTATCGATTATTAAATTTAAAAAACCCTTTTTGTTAAAACAGTATTTTCATTTTACGAGTTTATGATGCTATTCTAGTTTCCATTGTCATATTCAATTCCCTGCAAGCCTAACTTTATGATCTTTAGACCATTAAGCATTTGAGTGTTAGCCTATGGGGGGTATAAATCACATAGAGATTTTTTTTTTTTTTAAGCCTACAGCACCTGGTTGTCCTAGGTGGTCTCCCATCCAAGTACTAACCAGGCTCAACTCTGCTTAGCTTCCGAGATCAGATGAGATTGGTTGTGTTCAGGGTGACATGGCCGTAGACGGGGATTTTTTAAATGTATACTACAGCAATTTTCCTAAGAAAAGGTAGGGAGAAAGAAGAAGTGGTTTTGAAACTGTGCTTAATGAAGTGAGACTGCAGGCTGCCGGGATGTGGTAATACAAACCTGGGTGTTTCTAAATTCAGCTTGGATCCTCTCGAGTTGTAGATCCACATAGCAACTGCCATAAGCACCACTGGTACTTCATTCAAACTGACCAGGTCCAAAATGGCACTTATTTTCTGCACCTTCCCCCATTCCATCCTAACTCTTTACCTCATTTGGTAAAATCTACCTCAATCCTCCTCAGAAGGCAAAACATGGTATCATGGCCACTTCCCTTCACTTACCCAGGATCTGACCTCACCAATCAATTATCAAATCAGTTGATCTTGTCTCCTGAATATTTTAGGAATCTATCTTTGGATGCCCACCACCACTCACATAATGGTCCTCTTATCCTAGTCTCTTCTTGATTTCTCTAATGGCTGGTTTACCAGCAATCTGCTTGCCATGGTGCTCCTCCCAACTAATCTGTCCTCCACCCACAGCTTATATTGTACAACTATCCTGGGTCATTATTCATTGCCCCACCACGCTAGGATAGTCCTCATCATCTGGCTGTTGCTTCTCCAGCTTCATCTTTTTCAGTAACAGGCTTGAACTTCTAAGTCCTGTAATTACCACTCAGACTTCTCAACACATTATTTGTCCTCGTGCTGCATGACCTTTCTGTTAGGATCTCGATTTGTCATTCCATCCCCTATTTTTGTCCTAGAAAACCCCTGTTTATCTTTAAATTCTAACACAGAGTTAGTAAAGTCATCCATTCTTTCCTCTGTATACCTTTACATACCATACTTCCAATCATAATTATATACTTTCATGTCTGTCTACCCACAAGAATGGGCATTCCTTAAATGGGTCGTGCCAAGCACGGACTTGGTACTCAATCTGGAGGCAGGAGGGTGTAGATAAGAGAATAAATGTCAAAGAGATAAGGCTCTGGAGCCTTATCAAATATGTGGCTAACAATCTATTTCGAATCTGTGGAAAAATTTAAATAAAGCAACCGATTCTGTGCAACTACTTCTAACTTAAGCTACCAAATCACAGGGTGGGGCCGCAGAATGATCTCAACGCCACATCAGACCTGCAGTGTCGTAGGGCGCTGGAGCCCGCTCAGAAAAGGCTCCAGACAATCCGCGGAAGTGAGTTCTCCACAGATTCGCTGTTAGATATGAGGCCCGGGGCAGGCGACTGACCCATCTCCTAGGATTCGGCCTACGACCAGCCACTTCGCCGGCTCCACTCCAGGAAACCCCCGCCAGAGGCCGGACAGGCCTCCAAACTAGGACACCCCGGGAGAAGGGGCTGCCCCCCAAAAGCAAGATGGCGGCCTTTGATCTCCCTTCCTTCTCCCAAGAACGCCCTTCTTGCTCCCAGAAGAGAGACAAGGACATAGCGACGCCGAGATCCGGGAATCTCCACGAGGCCGCGTCCACTCCCGGGCCCCCGGGAGGTGACTTCACCTTGTCGGGCGCAGGGAACGCGGCGGGGCGGGAGGTTGGAGGGGGGAGGAGGAAGGAACACCCGAAAGGCAGCTCAGCCTGCGTTCAGCACGCAGAGGGTAGACACCGGATAACCTGCACCTTCCCAACCATTGTTCTCCAGCCCGGCCCCAGACACCCTCCTCTCTGCCTAGGACAGGAAATCCCTCCCCCTCCAGCCCCTCCCTGCTCTCCAGCGCCCCGGAAGTGATCTGCAGCAGCTGCTGCAGAGCGGCCAGGAGGAGGGTGGAACTCTTGAGAGCCGGGCGCCCGGAGTTCTCCTCCTCCTGCCGCCCAGGCTCCACCGCCGCCTGTCGGACTCCTCCTCCTGCCGCTCCCGGCGTGGAGTGTCCCGGACAAGGGCCGAGAACTCTGGCCGGAGCCAGCTCAGTCGCAGCTTCCGGAGCCCGCAGGGCGGTAGACTGGTTTGCAGTGCAGGTGAGCGATGCTCGCCTGGGCCACTGCAGGACGGGTGCGGGCCGCCGAAGGGGCGGTGGCAGGGGGTGGGGGTCCTGACGGGGGTGGGTGGAGGCCCAGAATCAGGGCCGGCCGCCGAGATTGCACGTCCCGCGTTCTGCCCGGGAACGAGCTGCCGGACGAGTCTGGGCTGGAATCTGGAGCGCGGTGTTCGCCGCTCTGCGGGCAAGTGCACCCCGGAGGACGGGAGGCTGCGGCGAGTTCCCCACGCCCGGCACCCGCTCCAAGCTGGCCTCGTCGTAAGGTCACCTCGCATCTCTGACTCCACGCGCGTAGGTCCCCGCTTGGGCGGTGCCCGCGACCTGGGCGACCCGCCGTCGCCACCTATGTCCCCGCGCCTCACTCCGCCCCTCTCCTCTCCTTCTCTTTCTTTCCATTCCTTGCATGTACTAGAGCAGTTACATTTTAAGCATCCCCGCCAGGGTTTTGTGCCAGTTAAAAGAATGGCTTTTTCAGACTGAAGTCTACATTTTCCTCACTGACCCGAATAACTGGCCCTAGGCTCTTGGACAGGTTGGCCCATATTTGGGTAATTCGACCTTTAAATAGAGGAAGAGAATATAGATATTTTCAGTGAGTGTTTCCTCCGTCGTTCGTTCCTGAAAATTTTCCAGAAGTGGAAGGTGTGATTTGTATGAGTTAGCCTGGGTATATGTATGTAAGTGGGCTGGGGTGACCACGCAGAGAGGTGGCAGTGTTGTTTCAAGGTTTAGGGAGGATTAAGGAGTTAACTGGCCTTTGCTCGGAAACCAGAATGTCCAGACTTTTGAGAGCGCATCTAAGTGTCATTGAGGTTGTGTGAGAGAGAACTCCAGTGCCACGCCCTACGTGTCAAGCTGAAAAGCACCTAATTTACAAATTGTGTTTGGTGGCTGTGGTAGGGGGAAGCCTTTATAAAACATGTGTCAGAGATTAATTCTAGTCTTGAAAGTAAATTACAACTTTAGTCATGTTCCAAAAGTTGGGTAACAATTTTCATTAGTTAATTCAGAGTGGAGAACATTCCTTTTAGCTTATACATTTGTATTATACTAATACAATTAGTATAAATGTATTATACTAATACATTTAAATATATCTTATTTATGTTTTTGTCTATTAATACAGTATTACAATAAAATGATTGTGACTGTAAATACGTTATTTTTTAGAATGAATACCTTCAGAGCAGAAGCTATGTCTTACTCATCCCTGTGTTTCCATTCAATGTGGCCTAGAATATAGAAGTTGTTTATTCATTTCTTCACTAAATAAATGAATGCATGGGTGATCTCACAGTTGCCGCCCAAGAATCATTTATTATGTTGGTCTAGGGGTTTTTTTTGTTGGTGTTTTTGTTTCTTGACACATACAGACTTTGCTGTCCTTCCAAAACTGTATCCTCCTCTGACAGGGTAAACTTATATTTGGGGTATTGTGATTGAGCACTGTAATAAGTTGTATTCCCAGTACTACTTGAGCATGTTTGTCCAAGGTTATCAAGAAATTTCCTGGTGATAGTAGGTTTAAGTTAGAGTTGAGAATCATACCTTATCTTAATCAAAAAGAGGAAATTGGGAGTTACTACTGTTTGGAAAACCTGGGACATCACAGAATTGATTATAGTGGCTCATTTTTTCTCATGGATACATGAAAGCCTCTGACATCTTGATATGGCCTTGGCATGGTTTACCTACCAATAGCCACTTTCACATTTCTTTTCAGAGATTAAGATACTGGTCTCTAGTGTGTCTGCTGAGTGTACAGTCAGCTGTATCATGTATTTTGAAGCAGTTCTTCATACAACACTTTCTTCTCAGGGCTTTCAGGGAAAAAAGGGCTAATTATAGGAAAGAATCTTGTCTACCATTTTTGTGGGGGGATAATTTTTTTCTGTAGATCATTGGATTACTTTCACTTTAAGGAGGTCCAGATGAAAAAGTGCTGATATCTTCTTTCCAAATATCTGGTGTTGGTCCTGCGCTGGTTTTCCAAGCTCAGCTTCTATAGAATGTAAATAAATCTACCAGTATCACTTCTTGTGTGTGTGTGTGTGTGTGTGTGTGTGTGTACATACATACATACATACATGTATATGTGTATATGTATGTATACATCAGTGTAGTATGTTCTTGAACCCTGAGTAGTGAGGACAATCACCTAAAAATACTAGAGTAAGAGGCTGTTAATGAGGGAGAAGATTATGATTTTGAAGAAGGAGAGAGACAGTGTATAGTTTCCATTGTTTTATAAAATGTTTTAATTCTTGGACATAAAGGAGAAGGAAACCTGAAATTTGTCTTATTGACTTTACCACTGTACAGAGGTCAGATTTTCCTTTTTTAATTCATCAACCCTCCTGATAATAAGTCTTCATACATTGATTGCCTACCAAGCACTGTGATAAGAGTGTTACTTATATTATTTCTAATCTCCACAATACTTCTGCAAGATAGGTGGTTTGCCTACACTTTACTAAGGCTAAGTGAAGTTATATGCCAGGAGTTAGGCAGCTCGTGTGTAGTAGAGGCTGGATTTGAAAGTAAAAGTAATGATTTCTGAGAGCATTGGATATTGCAGTTAATCCTAAAAGGCTGAAGAAAACGAGATTCTGATTGAGCTGAGCTTCAGGAAAGCAGAGATTCTGTGGGGCCTGGGATTACTAGTGACCCTGGCCAGGTGGTCTCAGGCAGTAGCCACTCTTCTGTTTATCTCCAGTGTGTCTACAAATGCAGTGTTATCACCTTCTATCTGTTCTGTGATGAAAAAAAAAAAAATGGTTTTACATATTTTTTATAAGTGTCCTGGAAAAACAGAGTATTAGGAACTCAACTCTGGTGTTTGATGACTGCTTTTTACTTCTGAAGTATTTGAGATTTGAGAATATTATTGGAAACTTATTTGTAGTGACCTTTTCTGAAAGCACGTTTTTTGTTCGTTTGTTTTTCTTGCACTAAAGGAGATGGGGGAGAGGTTATGGGGGAATGGAAGAATGGTAAAAGTGGCAAAGGTGTACTGGGTCTGTTTTCACCATTTCAGACTATATGTTATTTTCTCTTTGGGTTTACGATGGAGACTTAAAGAAGACAGAACTCCTGTAAGCGTCTAACTGTATTCAGTGCTAGAATTCTCTTTACTCTTTTAGAGCCTGTGCAGTTTTTTTTTTTTTTTAAGTGCATTTTTAAATGGGTTTAATTTAAAGGATGTGTTCATCTCTTGGTTTAAGAAAAGTATATAGCTCTATGTAAAAAACAAGTCATTATCTAGCTCTCATTAATAACAGTTACTCTTTTTTTTTCTTTAGCTCGAAGACACCTTTCTTACTATCTTACTGCATTCATAAGGATTTGGTTATAATATAGAAAAAATGAAATTAAAGCTCTGAATTTTTAAAAGACTTGAAAGTAAAGTTTAGAAGAGATTTTGCATCTTTGATTTAATTATACCTGAAGGTGAAGATTTAATTCTTCATCGTCAAGAGAGTAGTCTGTACAGGGTAGTCTGTACAAGCTGAAAAAGCAAACTTTCATAAAACATTATGATACTGTTCTTAAGGGCTTTCACAATTAGAGTCCTGTATGAGATACATTAGACATAATGCTTGACAGAGTAGTCTCTTTGAAGTGTGGGATCCAATTTCATTGCTGAATTCACTTATTCAAACTGAATATCAGGGTTTGACAGTGTCACTTTGAAGAATAAAACAGCAAGATTGTGAAGTGACTTCTACTTCCAGATGCATTGTGAAGGTGGGACAGAGATCCTGGTTTTCACAAAGATCATGATTGTGGTCATCTGGGCCACAGGCACTCTCCTGCTTTATTAAGCATTTGAGTAGCTAGCATAGTAATCTATTGAAATTGGAGATTGCCACACTACTGAGTGATTGCAAATTCTTTAGTTCAGTTGCATTGTCTAGATCAACTCAGGATTACTGCAGCAACCTTTTATAGCCCCCTCTGCCAATTTTTTCTTCATACTTGGTTATCATATTACTCCCCTGCTTAAAACCCTTTTGTAGCTCCTTCTTGTCCATTAATGAAATACCACATTTCTTTTATCCTTAATCTGCAAAAGCTTCAAAATCTACTCCTTCCTTAACTTCAGAGCCTCATCTCTTTTCTTTCAGGATATATAGTTCCAGCAATACCAAACTTCTGGAATGCTAGCATTTTCTCAGTCCCTCATTTCCTCTTCCTGTAATTCTAGCTACTCCTTCCTGCAGCATAGTGTACTCTTGATCCTTAAGAACTCAGCTTGTATCTTGTCTCAGACTCCATCCCTTGGGGAAAAAAAGCAAAAAACAACTTTCAGGATTGGGCTAGTTGCTCCTCTCATGTGCTACAATAAAATCTATCACAGTGTTTACTGCGGACAGTGCCTTCATTAACCTACAACCCACAGTAACCTCATAACTGCATACACATGTACACTCTTAAAAGCCTTCACAGGCTTTTACCAGAAGTTCCCAAACTTTCTCAGTTCTCAGCAGCCTTATTATGTTAGTAATTTTTCACAGCATCCCTAGGTCAAAAGAAACACATACCTAGGTCAAAGGAAACACGAAACAGTTTATTTTCTCAAACAGTTAGGAACAAACAACTTAATAAGTATTTATGTCTTAACAATTCAGAAGCTATTTGAAAAAAATGATACACGTTAATTAAATAATGTTCATGCTTAACTGCATAGTACTCCATTGTTTGTACCATGGTTTATTCAACCAAAACTCCTATACTTAAACTTTTAAGTAATTTCCAATATTTTTGAATTACAAATGATGTAATAATGAAAAACTGCACATATGTACCTTTGTGTTGTTGGAAGTATGTCTTTAAGATATAGGATTTGTTAGATATTGCCAGATTTTTCTCCCTGTGCAGTGGTACTATTTTGAATTCTCACAAGTAGTATAAAAGAATACCACAGTCACCAACAGAATATGTTGCCAGGCTTTTGAGTTTCTACCAATCTAATAGGTG